CCAGGACTGCTTTGCAAGCGGGGCACCCCTGAGAACTGTCTGTCCGGGGTGGGGGTCGGGACCCTTTAAGCACAGCCCTCGGCTAGCCCGAGACAGCATCTCCACGCTCTAAGTCCTCCTCTGATGCCCTGCCGGCACTGCTTCCGGCCATCCTTAAGCCTGGTTCAGGGTCCACTCTGTGTGGACATGCTAGTTCGAATTAGCAAAACGCTAATTCGAACTAGTTTTTTAGTCTAGATCCGTTAGTTCGAATTAGCTTAGTTCGAATTAACTAATTCAAACTAAGTTAGTTCGAATTAACGTTGTAGTGTAGACATACTCAAAGATATATCAGAAGTGGAAAAGGTTCAGTAAAGATTAACAACAATTAGAGGCATGGAACGGCTTCCCTATGAAGGGAAATGAATAAGACTGGGACTTGAAAAGATGGCGAAGAGGACATGACAAAGGTCTATAAAATCATGACTGTTGTGGAGGAAATAAATGAGGAAGTGTTACTTATTCAGGGGTGGCCCATGGCTATAGGCCGACTTGGCTGTCGTCTTGGGCGTCGCCTTCAATGGTGCCCAATGATGACATCATGGGGTGCCTGGGGCACCCGATGATGACATCACCCCATTGACAGCCCATTGCCACAGCCCACCTCAGGTCGCTTCTGTACTTACTCCTTCCTTCAATATAAAAACTAAGGGTCACCAAATGAAAATTAATAGGCAGCAGGTTTGAAACAACTTGACTGAAGACATAGTCCATAGTCAATCTGTGGAACTCCTTGCCAGAGGATATCAAGGACAAGACTATAAAAGGGATTTAAAGAAGAACTGGATACATTCATGGAGGATTGATCCATCAATGTTATTAGCCAAGATGGGAAGGAATGGTGTCCCTAGCTTCTGTTTGTCATGTTTTTACATTCAGGTTTCCCCTCTATATTGTGGGACTAAAAATACTTCCCTCTTTCAGGTCTGATAAGAAGAATTAGTCATTATTATTATTACCTTGCACCATAGCATCTCAGCTGCACATCCATGTGACAGTTACAGCGACCTAAATAACCCCTGCTTCTTAGCAACATTTATCTTTCTGTAAAAACAACATCCTCAACAACAGGGATTTCACTGATAAAAACCTTCATTAATACAGTGAAAATTGCTCAGTGAGAGGTCGGGCCCTTCTAGAATAGCGAGTTCAGTGAAACTCAGATGGGTGAAATCCCAGAAATGCAGAATAAAGGGACATGCCCATGCAGCCTTAACTCTGCCCTCTTTGAGTGATGGCCCAATACTCCCATAACACAGATGAGCATGCTGCTTTTCCCTGAACAGGAGCAATCTGCACCAGCCTTGCACTCAGGGTATGTCTACACTACCCTGCTAGTTCGAACTAGCGGGGGTAATGTAGTCATCCGCAATTGAAAATGAAGCCCGGGATTTGAATTTCCCGGGCTTCATTTGCATAAAGCCGGCCGGCGCCATTTTTAAATGCCGGCTAGTTCGAACCCCGTGCCACGCGGCTACACACGACACAGAGTAGCTAGTTCGGATTAGGCTTCTGATTAGTGCGGCACGGGGTTCGAACTAGCCGGCATTTAAAAATGGCGCCTGCGTTTACACTGCCCCCGCAACTCGAAATCAGATACGCCATTTCGCTACACAATCAGAAGCCTAATCCGAACTAGCTACTCTGTGTCGTGTGTAGCCGCGTGGCACGGGGTTCGAACTAGCCGGCATTTAAAAATGGCGCCGGCCGGCTTTATGCAAATGAAGCCCGGGAAATTCAAATCCCGGGCTTCATTTTCAATTGCGGATGACTACATTACCCCCGCTAGTTCGAACTAGCGGGGTAGTGTAGACATACCCTTTGACACTGTGCTTACACTAAACACAGAGAACTGCAGCTGCAAGGTTTTCATTCCCCTTCATCCTTTTCACAAAGCCATCTCACAGGGGGCTTTATGCAAATGAAGCCCGGGAAATTCAAATCCCGGGCTTCATTTTCAATTGCGGATGACTACATTACCCCCGCTAGTTCGAACTAGCGGGGTAGTGTAGACATACCCTTTGACACTGTGCTTACACTAAACACAGAGAACTGCAGCTGCAAGGTTTTCATTCCCCTTCATCCTTTTCACAAAGCCATCTCACAGGGTATGTTCAAATTAAAATGACACATTTGGTTCTGGGCAGAGATGTCCTGTTACCCATGTTTGCAAAGCAGCCCTCACAGCAGAACCATGACATCTGATTGGTGCCCTGATGTGCTAACGAAATGCAAAGAACCACACACAAGAGCAGGCCTGGGTACTCATGGGCCTGTAGTTCGGTGTTTCTGAATTACAGCTGTACTCAACACACCAGCTTTTTGGGGAACCTGTGCAGGATCAAACTGGGGAGGGAGCAAGGTAGGGAAGGAGGGTGGAAGCTATGTGGGGGCACAGTGATACTGCCGGGCATTACAGGCAGTGGGGTGGGTGGCTCCTGCCTAGGGACTACAGTAAGTGGTAGAGTCCACGAGGAATTCAATAGGTTCTGGTACTGTAGCAGGTTGGGCCAGTTCTGGCCTCTGCCCCGGCTGCTGGCTGGTGATGGCAGCATTTGTTTCTAGTGGTGTAAAACTTTTATCCATTGTCCTGGATGCCATCCCAATGGTACAGGCATTCCTCCAGTGACTGGGTCACTGCTCTTATTGCCTGTGGTCACGAATCATCTTCTGGACTTTATTAAGCATCTCCTTTTTCTTGCTTCCCTTTAGCTTTGCCATCAGCTCTTTCAGTTTCTCTTCAACTTTTCGGCGCTTTTCCTCAGTCCCATCTTCCATCTCGGCGTACAGCTCATTGGTATAACAGCGGCCTCCATTCTCCTGAACCATATTCTCAGCTATTCCCATCAGCTCTTTAACCTGCTGGCCCCGCTCCACCTCCGTGGCTCTGTTGTTGAAAGCGCAGTAGCGGTCCCCGCAGGCTGCAATCAGCCCCTTAAGATCTTTGTTATCTGAGAGTCTCACATAGTCGTGCAGGGAGTCGACTGCTAAATCTTCTTTCCGGGTGAACAGGACGACCATGTGCCTCATGGCTCCATCTCCAAAGATCTCCCGGACTCGCTTCACGGCTTCCTTGTCCTCTGCAGTGTAACGGCCCAGCTGGGTCACCAGCACCAGCGCGTGGGGGCCTGGGGTGGAGAGCACGATACAGCGATTGAGCTCTCGACAGGCTTCCATGTCACGGGCCGCTGGGCAGAAAAAGTCAGGTGTATCGATCACCAAAACCTCCCTCCCGCTCCAGCGCATGCTCCCAGCCCTACATGCCTGAGTCACTGGCCTTGCTCCCAGCCTGGACGCAAACTCCTTCTTGCCAAGGAGGGTGTTTCCAGTTGCACTTTTCCCAGCTCCTGCCTTACCCACAAGGATGAATTTCCATGTGTCCTGGCTGCTCCCTTGTGCACCTGCTGGGAGGAATTGTGACAGATTTACTACATCATAGCACTGGTAAGAAGGTGGTGATGGTGGACTTAACAGTTCTTTTAGGTACAATTATATATTTGTACAAACTTGCATTATAACTCAAGAATGCCCGTGTTCCCAGATCTGGGTCTGGATTTCAAACATCCCGGCCCTCAAATTCAGGCCCAGGTCACTGGAGCATCCAGGTGCTTTAGCACAAGTGGATTTCAAGTCACAAGTGACAAGTGCTGCTCTCACCATTCTGGTGCTAGAGCTGAGCAGTCAGCTGGCATTTGGCATCACCACAGTAACATTCACCAGCCCCATCCAAGTAGCAGAGCAGAGTGAATGGAGGGTAGCTTGAGAACCCAGTAACTGCAGTTGGCACTTTTATAATGTATTGTTATTTCCAATAACAGTCGTGTAGTATGGCAGGGTTATGTGGCCAGAAGCTGCTATTATGGTAACCTGAGGTGAATGCCTATGCAAGGCAAACAGGATCTTCACCCAGGTACTGCTGTACTGAGTCCAGTAATTCATATTGACCTAGATCCTGATGCTGAAAGGTGGCCAGGTTTGCTCTGAAGATATCAAGGGGATGAGAAATCCCCCCGCCCTCCAACCGCAGCATGTGCCAATGGTTAACTCCATTTGCTGTCCAGGGAGGTCCTGGTCTAACTTGAATGCATCTGGCTTTAACTTTCAGCAACTGGTTCTTGTTCTGCGGAAGGTGCCTTTGATATACCAGTACTTCCTCCAAGGGAATGGATCAATACCCTGTAAGAAAGTCACCGCTTGATCCCCATTTTTACAAGCTAAGCACATTGAGTTGTTGTGTCTCTGTGTTGTAGGCCCAGCACTAGGGGTCTGGCAGTAAGTGTAGAATCACTGAGGTAACACTGGTAGGTGGGACGAAGCTGGGGGGAGTGCCAAACACTGCTGAGTATAAGGCAGCCTTGCACCTCAGTAAGAAACACGAGGAGAGCCGGGTCTGTGCAGACAAAATGCCTTGGGCTGCAGCCAGAGACAAGAGAGAATCCAGGCCGATCCCTGCCAGCCAGCCCTGCACAATGGGTGCGACAGCCCAGAAAGCAGGGCTCTGAAAGAGATGATGAGGTCACAGTGGGCAAGGTACTGAACCTGAGCACCCAGTACAGCAACAGGCAGGAGGGGACAGGCGCTGGCTGCTGATTGTACCTGAGCTTACGGCATTTCTCAGACTGACGCTGGAGTCCAGCTGACAGCACAGGGAGGGGTCACTTTATAAAAAGTCATGTTAATTTCCCAAGGGGTTATGGAAGACCAGACCTCCCAGTAAAAGGGAGGAAACTATTGTTCTCTTCCAGGCAGCAGAGGGAGAAGGGGTTGAATTTGGAGAAAGGAGACAGGTTGTTGGTGTGGAACCTTTTCCAGTTCAGGAGCTGCTGCTGGAAGCTGGAGCCTGCTGCTGAGAGCCTGCTGGGGCTGAGATGTAGCAGACTACTTCGGGGGCTGATGGGGATTGTCCCTGGAGGTGCCTGTGGCTGAGAAGGGCCTGCAGAACCCTGCCTAGGAGGTGCTGTGAGTAACTGTGGCTGTTTGGGGAAGGGCTGCCAGGGACAGAGCCCAGCAAACAGATGGACTCTGGGTCTGAAGAGCAGCAGAGTGAGCTGCCAAGGAGCCAGAGCTGCTGGCACTTGGTGGGGCCTACTCCAGTGGCAGAGGGATTTTGCAGTTGCTGCTGCCTGGACTGATCCACACAAAATCTGCCCAGGGCTATTGCCTCTCCAGCCTCAGACCCACAAGTTCCAAGGCCAGCGGCTGCCAGGGACAGAGCCCAGCAAACAGACTGAC